TGCAGGTTTGGACACATCATTACAAACAATGATTTGTTTTATTTTGCAGTGCGTGATCTAGTGCTGCCTTGCATCTGGCGTTGGCTTGTACCCACATGGGCACGTTCAGATCTATGGCGTTTCTCTATTCACAACAAACAGGAGTCACAGCACTGGAAGCCTTGCTCCATTATGCCAGCTGACTAAAATTTGAACACATAACAAAACATTTTGTGCTGCATTGTTGTAGATATAATGTAGTGCTGGTTTTGCTTCAACGCAGTGCCACAAATATTTATTGCACAAAAATGGCCTTAAAATCTAAATATTAGTGAAGGTTATTTATGCATTATTGACTACGCACATTGTTGTCAAAACGAGCCATATTCATCTTCACTGCAAATTAGTGTGTGTTTAACTTAGTCTGAGTTCTTTTTTATTTTATTCTGTGTATTTTTGTTCATGGTTATTGAGGATGAGGCGTCACACAACCTGTCCATGTTGACATCTGACAAATTTAACAAGCTTTTACCAAAAAATAGATTAATTTTCACATCATTACTAATTCTGCATTAGACATCAACAAGTCTTTTTAGTTTTTATGAGTATTTGTCCTTAAATAGAGTTATAGCCTGAGTTGCATTCACTGTTGTTTTGGTATTATTTAGATATTATCATAGTATTAATTTATAACTTTTTATATTTATAATTTTTTTTATAAATGTATAACTTTATTTTATATTTTCAGTTTTCATTTTAATTAAATTTTAATTTTAATTCAGTTTTTTTGTGCTCATTATTATTGGTTATTTATTTGTTTGTTTGTTTTCCAATTTTAGTCAATTGAATTCTTTAAATTAAATGTACTTAAGTTAGTTGCCAAAGCAACATTTTGTTTTGCGTTTTGGAGTGTTTTTGTCGTATTTATTTATTTGTGTGTATATCATTTTTATTAACTTTTGTGCTTAGTTAAATAAATCAAATTAAACTAAATGAAAATGTGAAATATTTCCTTGCCAAAGGAAAATGCATCTATAAAATAAATATTTTTAAAGGTTTTGAGTCTTTTTACTTAAGTTAGATTTACTTTTTAAATATTTTATTTCATTTAACATTTATTTTATTCCAAATAACTTTTTTATTATTTAAATTTTTGTTTTATTGAACTATAGTAGCCCTTCTCTAAATTGTTCATTAGTTCAAAATGGTCTAACTACCACCGTAAGCTGGATTTTTCAGTATGGATCATATTCATGTGGGTGTGTGTTGATATTCCTCTAAAGATTCAAAGCACAGCTTGGACACTCAAATCGACGCGTTGTGTTTTCTTAAAGCCAAGGCTGAGATATGAAAAGAGACTTTCAATCTTCGCACCTGTAGTTTTTATTAAGCTTGATTTCTAGCTGGGGAAATAGAACTATTAGCATTCATGAAACGACAATAAATGAAATAAGCGAGCTGGATAAAAGTAGCGCTGAATGCATAGACATGTCCACTTGCATTATTTCAGCATCAGCCGACGTTTATGCACAATCTTCCTCATCCGTGCAGATGGAAAGGTGAGGTGTAGACCCTGCTAATCTGTAGCTTTTTGTTCGTGCCATGTTATCTTTAAGGCTCCGTTAATTGTTTGTGCTCTGCAATCTAACGCACTCATTAATGTCATCTGATGCGAGATTGTATATAGTTTTTTTTGTTATTATTTCAGTTTTAGTTCAGTGTTGTTATTGTTAACTAAACTGAAATTAAAATTAAACCCATAAAAAAGTTACTTGGAAAAAAAAAATAAAATAAATAAAAATAAAATTAATAATATAATAAAAATTAGTAAAATAAAATAATAATAATAATAACATTATTAAAAACTGTAATAGTGCAATAGCATAATAGTATTTAGTTAAAAAGTATTTTTATTTCAAGTGACAAAGTTTTTTTTTTATGGTTTTAGTTAACTATATTAACTCTTTTATGCATTTGGCAGACACTTTTATCCAAAGCATCTTGCATTTAATATATGCGTCATATCAGATAATGCATTCCCTGGGAATCGAACCCATGACTTTGTGTTGCTTGCGGCATGCTCTACTTCTTGAACTCTTTGCATTGTATTGTATTGGCTCTTGCTCTCTAGGTCACCGCAATGCCAACAGATTTAGCAGTAAATGAGATCTGATCAGGAAGTTTATTTTGTGGTTTGTAGAAATAACCTCTTTCCTCATTCATTCCTTCTCTTTCCAGTCTTTCTGTAGGTCTGCAACACTCTCTCAGGAGTCGATCTGTAATGTTTTCAGAGCCGCTCTATCCCTCCATCTTCTCTCTGACATCTCTAACCGCTCAACAAAAGACCTAATGAAGCAGAGGAGGAGGAATATTTGCCCGGTAATTAAGAAAAATGAAAAGAGGCGACATGGAGGTTGTCATGTGCCCTGTAATTGTCCTTTACTCTATGAGGTCCACTTTATACTTCTTTTCTCCTTTTCACCCTCTTCTTGGCCCATTACTTCATGCATGTAATGAATGGGAGGCGCTGTGAATGCCTCGTTTTGCTCGTTTTGCTATCAAAGATAACGCCGTTCGTTAACGCTTTCTGTAGACCTCCAACAAACGACAGTTTCTGGCTTTTTGTGGGATTTGGTTGCGGGACAGATGAAAGGTTCACTAGTGACAAAGGGACATGTGGCCCTTCATATGAAATTAATTATTTTTTAGAAGAGCCTATTCAGAGTGTAATTCCATCAGATAGCTGTTGAGATGTCGAGAAATATCGCTGTATTCAGACGACAACAAATGACTTTGTCCCGCTCAACAATGCCCTGTTTTGTGAAGAGATAGCTTTTGGGAAGCTGCTTTTAATGGCTCCCAGAGGAAGTCAAGCCTTTGTGAGCAATCGTTATTATTTGGAATTGATCTCCAAAAGCATTTTTATACTCAGTTTGTGCAGCCAAATGTCATCGTAAAATCAAAACTGACCCTTTTAATGTGCTTTTCGGTGCATGTTGTTCCAAATTAAAATGGTGTTTTTGTTTTAAAATCTTTCATTAATGTTTTTCTGCTCTGCCTCTGAGAAGACTCTTATTTTCAGATGAAGTCATGAATCCCTTAATTTTTCTGACTTTGTTCTGGTACATAACTTCCACTTTTTATGATGCAATCAATTCCTGATTGATAAAATCAAGCTGTACATTACAATTTTTCATTTGATATCATGTTCCCCTTTAATTAAAATGTTTTAAATATTGTTTCATGTTGACTTTATTTATAGTTATTTTTTTTAGACATATCCAAACCGGTGCTGTTTTAGTATCATTGAGATAATATAGTTGTTATTAGTATTTTGAATATTAAAAACTGTACTATTATAGTTTTTTATTGATATTCTGAGTTAGTTTTTTTTTATTTTTCATTTTAGTTTTAGTTAAAGTTTTGATAATTGTGTTATTTTTTGTCAGTTTTTATTAATATTTTGAATATAAAAACGTACAGTTTGTATCGATAGTTTGAATGAGTTTTTATTTTTAGATTTGTCATTTTAATTTTAGTTAGTTTTAGTAATTTTGATGTGTTTTGTCAGTTTTTATTAATATTTTGAATATAAAACTACACAGTTATAGTGTTTGATCATTTAAATTAGTTTTTAAAATATATTTTTAATTTTAATTTTAATTAAAGTTTTAATTTGTTATTTTATTTCTCAGTTTTGATGAATATTTTGATTAATGCTTTGATATATTATATTTAGTTTCAGCTTTAGTGATTTTGTTGTGCTTTTTAGTTTGTATTAATATTTTGAATATTGAATACTATTTTAGTTTTTATTGATATTTTGAATTAGTTTGTATTTTTATGTTTTTATATTATATTTTTATTCATTTTTTATTTATTTTATAATTTTAGTTATTGTAGTACATTAAGCAAAATCAAAATAATAAATGTTGCCTTGGAAACTAAAATAAAAAAGTGTAAATTATAATTATTATTATTATTATTATTATTATTATTATTATTATTATTATTATTATTATTATAGTTTCAGTTGACTACAATAACCCTGATCCAAATAATACTATTCTCACAGTGGCCATCATTTAAAATGCTGCAAAATCGTATTTATCAGCTGACCGCTCATCATAACAATAGCTTTTGATTTCTGACATGCACAGAATGCAACCATGCAGCCGTATCTAGCGTTTCCATGTAAAACATCACTGAATGGAGTTTTCTGCATGCCGACACACGTTTCATTCGGTTCTCATTTCTTGCAAATGAAAGCACATTGCGACCCGGCGCAAGCCGCTAACGTGATTTCCCAACACACATCGCTCACGATATCAGGCTCTGGCAGAATTCAAATCTTCTGCTCCAGAGGGGCCATTCGAGTGCGCAGAGGGTGGCCTAATGATGCCTGTGTGGCTTTAATGCTGTTTATGAAGGTAATAATAGTAGCGTACAGGTCTAATGATAGTGGTCAAAGTAATAGTAGCCCGGCGCACTCACACAGAGGTGCTACTGTGTGCCGAGATTACTCTGTCATTGTAGCAGCGGGTCATGCAGCTCTCAATGTTCAGGACTGTGATTTGGAGAGCTGAAGTGTGTGTGTGTGTGTGTGTGTGTGTGTGTGTGATG